GTGCATGCTTGTAAACAGCCAATTCGGAGGATGGTGTTCGTGATACAGTGATTCCATAATGGATAGAGTCCCCAAATCTGAAGCCTGGCATATTCACTGGGAAAAGAAGGCCCGTTGCACCTCTTCAGCACTCAAATGTACAGCAGCTCCAGTACAAATAGACGCAGACCCTAAACCGTGAACCCATAAACCCTACAACAAACAAGAAAGGCGCCCTGAAGCACAAAGCTCCGCAACTTGGCCGGCAGGCTAATCGCTCTTCCTCTTCCGTGATAGCCGGATACTTACCTCAGATTCCAAAGCCACTGCAGGTATTCCTGACCTGTCATGGACTCTTGGTTAAAAAAGCTTCATGATCATGAATTTCAGTATGGGGGTTTCCCAAAATTAGGGGTACCTTTTTGGGGGTCCTTATAATAAGGACTAGTATATTGGGGTCTATATTGGGGTACCCTAATTTTGGGAAACTACCGTATAGCATCCGGCTAGAGAACCACAGATCCATTCTGCAAGCAGGCCGGGAGGCATGAAGAAGCCCTCGTAATCTACGGCAGACTTCTAGATTGGCTTGATTTTGGGGGTTTCCCAAAAGTATGGGTTCTTTTTGGGGGTCCGCATAAGCAGGATTATACTACTTTGGGGTCTATAGTGCGGTCCCCCCATTTTGGGAAACTACCATTTCAGGTGCCTTAGGCAAGCCAAGGTGAGAAGAACAGGCACCCGCTCTTCTCATCACCACATGTTGCCAGCGCCAAGAGTTGCAACATTGACGCTGCGTTGCGTCGACGATGCATGAAGTGCAACTTCTGAGCCCTGTAGAAAAAAGGGAGGACGGTTCACCCCTAGCGTTTGGCTTAATGCAGGACCCATTGAGTGACGGTATACCTCGAAGTCTAAAGCAAAATCTCATCCCAGCAGCTTCTTGGGATGGGCTCCAACATCCTGGGCCAAGGGATTCAAGGATCTTCACCAGGCTGTTGGGATCTTTGACTCATGTTTGCACAAGTATATATTGGAGTTATGTAGGGATATGGAAAAGAAAATGGAAACTACTAATTTACAATAGATTTGCTATGAACGCACGAGTTTTTCGGCACATCAGCCAAATACGTGTGCAAAATTGTCCTTGGTGCTGTTGCTGCAGATTACGTTTCTGTCAGCAGCTCCGAAGACTTATTCGCCCGTGTTTTTGCCGGGATTGCAGAAACAAAAGATCAGCTGTTGAGAGCAAGCAGTGAGGTATCTATCCACAGAGTCTTGGGAGAATGGAAACTAAAATGGAAACTACTATAGTACTATAGTATATTGGGGTTATATAAGGATAATGGAAAATAAAGTGGAAACTATTATAGTATATTGGAATTGTATAGGGATAGTGGAAAAAAGTGGAAACTACTATAGTATATTGAGGTTATATAAGGATAATGGAAGAGAAAATGGAAACGGCTATAGTATATTATACCTGGAACCATCTTCACCGCAGCCCAGCATCTGGCAGGGCCGTCTCACGATTACGCCGTCGCTGGTCCTTGGACAGAGCAAGCTGCAACAGCTCGAGATCAGCGCATTGTAAGAAGAATTCTGACAGATACCTGACCCACAAAGCAAGTTCAGCAGTGACCTGGAACTTCTTGAATGGTCTCACGCATTAGCTGCCAGGCTGTTTTACCAGAAATTGAAGCGGATGAGATTTGTTCGACCTTCTACGTAACCCTAAAACTGTGGTGTTGATCTGCAGGGACAACGTCTTGTCTCTGGGGCTAGCAGTTCGCTACGGTGGCTGATCACATTACATGGAGCCTTCAAGCTTGGATTGGCAGCTAGCAACCACAGCTGGCAGCCTGAAACTTTACGAGTAGGCAAGGCATTGTGCAAGCCCACACTTCTCCTTCAGACCAGAATGTTTGACGCTTGAGAAAAACCAGGCCAAGAAACCCTCTAAGATCCCCGAGGTGACAAAACTGGCGATCCCCTACCTGGCCAAGCGCCCTGCCGGATGGATAGAGGCTCCAGGAACATGAACCTGCCGCAGTGTGGCCAATCTGCAGTTAGGGACTTCGTCAAAAGGTGCAGTTGAAGGCTCCATACTTCACAGTTCCCATACCCTGAAGCGATAGCACTGGAGTGGGGTGAATCCTTGACCCTGGGCTGACGAAGTGCAGCATTAAAAAGCCCTGTAGCCCAGCAATCACCACCCAACCGAATCCATCAGTACTGCTGTATGAGGGAGCAGGCCGCGGCCACATGTGTCCTAGATCGCCTCGAACCCTTTCGTCAGCTGGGAGCAGCCATGCTAAACTTCAGATCGACTAGATGCTTTCGTGCATCAGCAGCGGGCATTCTGGTGCCTGCTTAGCACATGCAGAAATCCTGCAGCCACGTAGGCTGAGTTTCTACTCGTACCGCTTGTGCAGATGCTGCTGACTATCTCTTTCGAAATTGACATGCCGAAACCAGGACATGTCTAGCGCCACCCAAAGTAGGAAACCAGGATGATTTCGGACACCCCTCAGACACCGCTCAGCCAAGAATCAAGCTCTTTGCTTGCCAGGCACGTGGCATTTCGGGTAACGGTGTTTCTTGTGTTTGTTCATGTGTGTTTTGTCCTGTTTGGGCGTGTGCGCGTTTTTTGTTGGCTGTTTGCACGGGGGCGTGTTTTTTGCTGGGCCTTGGCGCGCTTTTGTTTTGGTGTATATGTGGGGTGTCGCGTTGTTTTTTTCTGTTGGGGTGTGGCGGTTTTTGCTGTTTAGGCACCCAAGCCACGCCCCCGCACAAACAGAAGAACAAAAAAAAGGGCCCCGCCCGAACGGCAAACCCTGCCAAAACAGAAGAAAAAATGCCACCGCCCAAACAACCAAAAAGAACTCACTACGCTCCACACGAAAGCTCCATTTTCAGCAAATATGTGCGGGCGCTCCACGCCAGAGCTTGATAAAGCGAAAGTGTGAGGACGCTCCACACGAGAGCTCGAAAAATAGTTTATGGCGGATAGTAACAACACTCAATCATCGAAATAAAAATGAGAAATAACAATATTAGTAAAACTAATAATAATCATCATACGAATCATCACAAGAATAACAATAAGAATTAGAATGCTAGATGGGCAGTTTTCAGTGAAAATGTAACAGCGCTCCATGCAAGAGCAGGATCGGCCGCAGGCATCTGGACGTTCACGCCTGAGCCCTTGTTCCGTAGAGATGCACAGCCAGCTGCTTGTCTATTTTGCTGCTAAGGCAGGGGCCGGGGTGCACGTTTGTTTTTTGCTGTTGGGCGGGGGGGCATGTTTGCGTTTTTGCTGTTTGGGCGGGCAAAGGAAGGGGCGTGTGTTTGTGTTTGCTGTTTGGGTGGGGAGTCGTGTTTCGTTCTTTTCTGTTGGAACGGGGACGGGAGTTCACTCACTTACCGGCCTGCCTGGGTTGTTTTTGAGAGGCCCAACAACAAAAAAGACCAAACACAAAAAAAAAATATGTATATATATATATATTCATATTTATATTTATTTATTTATCTATTTCGCGCATCCCCACCCTAAAGCCGTTGTTGCACAAGAAGTGTAACGTTTCCCTGCCCCCCCTCAACTGTCTTCCTTGCAGCACTGCGAATGCATTGCAAGAATATTGATGTTCTGCTGTTGGGCACTCCAGGGATACTCTGCGGTTGGGAGCTGCGGGGATACTCTGCGGTTTGGGGATACTTGGTGGTTGGGCACTGCAGCGATGCTAGGTGCTTGGGCACTGCAGGGATACCTTGCGGATCCTTGCGGTTGGTCACATCCGTTAAGCATTGCAGGGATACTTTTTCGTTGGGCACTGCAGGGATACTCTGCGGTTGGGCACTGCAGGGATACTTTGCGGTTGGGCACTGCGAGGATAATCGGTGGTTGAGCACTGCAGGGATACTC